AATGGTGCTGTTGCAGCAAGAGGGGAACAGTGGCACAGGAGGGCCGAAGCAGTGATGGAGATCTGCTTCACTACCTGAAGGGAGAATACAAATCTAATAAACTTTTCCCTTTGATTTGGAGGCTCAACCGCTGTTTGATCCCATCATAAAAACCAGAAACCTCATTCTTTGTTTCTCTGTAAGGAATAAATAATTTCCAAATGCATAATTAACAAAATAGGAGGAGGTATTCCATAGAAGGGAAGAGAGAGCAAAGGGAAGACAGATGGGGAATCGGAGGATCTTCCATTCCCTCCTGAGGTGTCCTGACTTGGGTCTTCCCAAGGGATCCTCCTGAAAAATAGTTCCTGAGGGGGATTTGCTGTGCTTTCCTGGGCTCAGCCATCCCCTGCACAAGTCATGGAGTCGGCTGCAAAGTCCTTGGGGACCCTCATCCTCCCGGCATCGGATGGAGGTCCAGGGCGGAACTTCTGAAGGGAGGAGGGTTCCCACTGGTCTGGCTTTCTGGCAGGGGTTTTTGAACGGAATTCTGCTGCACGGTGCCCCTCTTTTCCACACTTAAAACAGCCAGATGGTCTTGGAGTCATGGTGGTTTGGGGTTTGAAAAACTCCCACTTTCCCTGGGATGGGGATCCTCTCCAAACTCTGCTGCTGCAGAACTGGTTACGGGCCATGTGTATCTCCGCCTCCTCTGCCATCAGGTACCATTCAAGCAGGAGCTTTGGGGCCCCACGGGCCAGGCAAGCAGTGTACAGTTCGTCCGTCGTTGAGTCCATCTCTGAACCAACAGCCTAGGATATCTTCTGGCCAGTCGACTCGGCTAGCCAGGTCACGAAATTCCTCAGTGTACTCGGCTACCGGGCGACAGCCTTGCTTTATGACTCTAATGCGGTCGGTCGTGGGCTTTTCTATTGGCGAGGGGGTCTTTGAAGCGTGTAGGGCTGTCATGAATTGATCGAGGTTCCTCAGTTCTAGGGTGTAAACGTTGTGGAGGGTCATCATCCATCTGGCTGCTGCCCCTTCTAGGGCCAGGGTGACAACTCACACTTGGGCCCCCTGGGTCAGGAAATTCTGCCTGTATTCTTGCATGTAGGTGAGGACTTGCGCCAGGAAGAATCCCACTTTCTGGGGGTCCCCATCCAATTTTACCCCCAAGGGTGGGACCTTTCTCTGCAGTTGTATGTCTCTGGGTTGACCCAGGTTAATCCCCTGCTCTGGAACAGCAAGGGGTCAGGTACCTGGTATGGCTGCTGGTCTTCCAACTTGTTCCATTGCTCGATCATTCTCAGCTGGATCAGGGGTGACGGCTCGGGTTCTCAATTTCTGGTTCACTCACTCTCCTTCATTGGCGACCTGGTTCATCCCATACATTGAGGCCCTCCAGGGCTTCCCTCACAAGGCGATTTATGTACCGTTTCAGTCTGTCGTCTGCCAGTGGTTCCTCGACCCATTCTTCCTGATCAGAAAGGGCCTCCAGCTCCATTTTCCACCTGGGTTTATGGTTACCCCGGGTGAGGGTTACTCCCTTGGTTCTTCCATCCCAGCTGTCTCTCTTTCCTATGCCTATAGACCACTGGGGCTTCGTGGAATTTTCGCAGGCAGCTTCAATGTCTTTGATGGGGTACACGAAGTCAGTGTCTGGCTGGGTAGTTGTCGAAGTTTCTCCCCAGCATTTGGCTTCCCCTTGCTCCTTGCTATATTCAGACATTTTTTGCAGGGTCCCCTCAGTAGAGCGAAGTTATTTTCAAAGAAAAAAAAATTCCTCTCCAGGTTGACCTCTATTGCAGATTCTGCTTTATGTAAGCACCGGACTTTTCCTCTTCAACCAATAAGAATGAACTTCTGAAAGCTAGGTACTTCAAAAGGAATTCTTTATTGAAAGGAAGTGATCCAGATACTAGTCAAAGCAGAGTCTAAGATACCCCCAGGCATACAGGGACAGATAAAGGGAGTTAGAACCCCTCCCCTTATTCCGATGTGGATTTAGTCAAACAAAGAGACATGTTAATCCCCCCATTTTCTGGCAACGTATCTTAGAAGTTTCCCAGGAAGTTTCTTTCAGAGCTGGAATTTTTATGGTCCCTTCTCCTCTTGCTATCTCTCCAAGAGGTGACAAGGTTCCAGGCATCCGGCTCTAGTCATATATCATCTGCAAGTTATACAGATTCAATACAAGGTTTAAGATATTCAGGTTACATCAAAAAGGATTACTTGTACCAAATCCCCCCCCCCCCTTCTTCTTCCATTGAAGAATGGCAGATACATGGATCTGTCATGCTGAGTCCTTCCCATCTCCTTAGTGTCCTTCAGCTCCATACCACATGTTTCTTCTCAACCTTCCCCTTTGCGGTCAACTTCGTCCCACAGACACTCCTGAAAATCAGTGCTATTTTTGACAGCATTATTGGAACCTGCAAATCTCAGTTGTCTCGGAGAGATGAAATTCAATGTAGAGAAAAGTAAAGTCCTACACTTAGGCAAGAAAAATCAAAAGGACACATATAGACTGGGTGAAACCAGGCTCAATAGCAGTAACTGTCAGAGAAATCTTGGAGTCTTAGTGGACAACCAGTTAAATAGGAGCCTGCAGTGTGCAGCAACAGCCAAAAAAGCTAATGTAATCCTAAATTGCAATAACAGAGGGATACAATCAAGATCAAGTGAGCTGCTAATACCACTCTATAAAGCCTTAGTAAGACCACACCTAGAGTACTGCATCGTTTTGTTCACCACATTATAAAAAGATGTTGAACCAATCCTGGGAAGGGAAGTCTTTCAGTTTGGAGGGCCATATTTGTCCAAAACAAAAACATGCCAAAAGGAGGACTTCCGGTTTGAAAGCTTTCGGCGGCGGCAGGGATTCGCGACACCGCGCGATCCCTGCCGCGTTCGCCACCAAGGTTCCCCCAATCCATTTGGATCTGGGGGATATAGCTGCCCCGTAGAGGCAGCTGAAGACAGGGGGGATCCGGAAAGGGGTTTGGGGGTGTCGCAGACCCCCTCCCCAGCCGGCTAAACCCCCTTTTCCCGAGGTGGAGGAACGGCGGTCAGCAATGGCCTCCACGAAGAAATCTGCAGCCGGACAAGCAGGTGCAGGAGGGAGAAAGTCGGAAGAATAGTGAAAGTTGCTTCTAACCGGGACAAGACAAGAGAAAGTGAGAGTTACAAGCTGCGAATATTTTAAAAGGGAAAGTTTTTTCTTTGTTCCACTCTCCTTCCTAAAGTGACAGCGGAGGGAAAAAATCCTTTTGGCTGTGAGTGGGAAGGGAGAGGGAAAAAAATTGGAGCAAAATTTGAAAATAAGGAGAAGATTGCCTAGAATTTTAAAGAGTTACTAAACATCAATAAGACTTCCAAAAAATATATTTGAAAGGGAACTTTGTGATTAAACTTTAACTCCAGAAAGAGAAAGTGAAGAAGAAGAAGGTATTTAAAAGAAACAGCCTGTTTGGATTGTTTGGTGACTTTGGAACTTTTGAGAATTATTTCTGATTAAAACATCTGGGTGGTTGTCTGGAAAAACTTTTTCTCTACACAATGGCATCAATTGTGGATGGATTGAAACTTGTATATCAAAAATATGAAAAAGAAAAACAAGAAGGGAAAGATGGTCTTGGCACTATTTTTCAATTTTTAGAAATGACGGTTTATACTTATGTGAAGCAGAATGAACAACAGGATGAAGGGGACAAAGAAGAAGCCATCTTTGATGAACAAATGACTTTGGTTGGAGAAGGGAAAAAGAAAGAGAAAAAGGAAAAGAGGACTCTAAGATCTGGAAAAACAACCCAAAAAGAGAAGAATAAGGTGAAAAAGGGACATTATGTTAGGAAACAACAGAAAGGGGGAAAACAGAATAAAAGGGAGGTGGAGAGACAAGGGGTTAAAGAGGACAAGGAGAAGAAGAAGCAAGGGAGAAAGGAAGGGATGAGAAGCCCTAATGGTGGGGAGCAAGATGTTAAGAAGCAAAAGTTTTTTTTAGAGATAATGGATAAACTTTATTGATAAAGGGATTCTATAAAGGTACATAAGACTGTATTTTTATATTTGTATTTAGAAATAACCATAGAAAATTGGAAATAATATGTAATTTAAAATGTGATAAAATGTTTAACATAAACTAGTGAAATTTTTGTTAAGAAAAAAGGAGTACTGCAATGAAATATGATTTAAGAGTGGGATCTGGGGGGGGGGATAATTTTTGGAAAGCATAACTGTTCCCACAAAGGCATGATATTTAATTGAAATGGATAAAATGTTTAAGATATAAATGATTGTTAGTATTAATGATTAGACTATGGTATATTAGCGAAATTTTTTGTGAAATGAGAGATTTGAAGTAGAAGGAGGAGGAACATCGTAATGAAATAATGAGCTATAATATGTGATGTGGGGGGGGGGGAATAACTATGGAAAATAGGGCTCCCATAAAAGTATGTGATTTAATTGAAAAGTAATGTGTTAAACGTTCAAGATATAAATGAATATTAATACTAATGAATAGATTTGTATCATTTTCGATAACATAGTATAATTTTAGAATGTACCAGACAGAATCCCAATGTAAGTTATGTGTTTTATATTAAGTATTATAAATATAGGGGAGAGAGATAAAGGCATCATACTCCATATAGTGTACAGGAGAAGTTTTTCTTCTTTTTTAAAGAAGAAAAATAAATGGATGGCTGGAAATAGAACAGACAAAGAATAATAAATATTATGATCTGAATTGAGAGGAGATAAATAAAATAAAATTGAGAAAATTTAAAAGAGAGGAGAAGTTATATAGAAAATTGAAAATGTTAATAAGATATGAAATGGTATATAAAAGGAATATGAATTTGAATTTGTGTCTGTACCAAGAGTTATAACCTGGGACTAAGCAACTTTCAGAAAAGAGATTTTTTATGTTTTTATGTTTTGTGTTTTTGTGTATTTATGTATTGTATGTCTTGAAGAATTAATAAAACTTGTTTTTTTTTTTTAAAAAAAAAAAAACATGCCAAAAGGAGGAGGCGCAGCTGAAGGGCAGGAAGGTTGTGGTTGTTGATACGCCTGGATTTCACCATTCCCATTGTCCAGACAAAGATATTGCTGCAGAAGTGAGCAAGTGTGTGAAGTTTTGCTCCCCGGGTCCCCACGTCATTCTGCACGTGATGGATCCTTTCCGTTCCTCCCAGGAGGAGATGAAGATGGCTCAGTGGATCGAAGAGATTTTTGGCCTGAAAGCCAAGGATTACACGATCATCTTGTTCACCCACAAAAATTTCCTGAAAGATGAATCTCTAGAAGATTTAATATCTTCCAGAGATAAAAAACTGAGGGAATATATTGCTGAATGCGGGAACCGGTGCCTGGTTTTCAACAACGAGGCCAAAGAATCGGAACGAGAGGCTCAGGTGGCCAAACTGATGGCCATGATTGATGCTCTGGTGGAAATGAACAGAAATGCTCCTTGTTGCACAGAAGACATGATGAACGTCAACAAAAGATACAACCTCTGATTGTTTCCCTTTCCATCAGAGACCAGAAAGTCTCTCTAATTCAGCCTCCCAAGGTGGCAACTCTGTCAGAGGCCACTCTCAAGCTTCCAAAGGCGTTTTTGCTGTCAAGCAACTATTCTCACTTCTCTGCTTCCAACGAATTATAGGGGGAGGGAAGGGGGGGATGGAACTTGGGTTTCAGACATCAAGATGCCAGTCATGAGTGTCTACTTTCAAAGAAATTATGTAAGGAACGCTCTACTCCTAGTATGAGAAAAGATTTGTTTTATCAATGGTTAGATAGTAAAAGTAGAATTTAGAATTTAGAAGAATACTATTATATAGAAGCAAACAATATTATTATTACTATTATTATTTATATGTAAGATGGCCCAGACAATACACTGTTTAATAAAAACCTATGTTAAAGAAAAATGTATAAATAAAATTTAAAAAAGATGACAGGAACCAAGGACACTTCAGCAGGTGTTTCCCAGACTGTCTCACAACTTCCAATAGATTCCATTGGACAACGGGACCTGGTCCAATAGGGGGAGGGAGAACCTGAACTTCAACTATGTTGCTCTGGGTGGGAATTAGCTAGATCTGGTTTTGCCCTCATCTTTGCCAAAATGATGTACTCAATAAAGTTTTGAATTAAGAGATTGGATCGTCTTGATTGTGTTTGCTTTGCTTGATCAGTCAGAACGTTGAACCCTTCTGTTCTGTGTTCCAATCCAGCCCTCAACAATTGACCTCTGAAGAGCCCGAGTCATGTCCAAGTCTCCCTGAGCCAATTCCTTCTCTTACAGAACCTGGTTTCTCCACTCAGATGACAAGACTTCAAGCAAATGTGAAAATCCAGCCCCTCCCCAGGATCAACCGGTCCCATAGCCTAATTCTCTCCAATCCTGGACGCATGTCCCTTCGGAAGCACCGACTCTTTGGGGGTTTCCCATCTGTCAATCCTTTGAGGAATATCAGGCTGGGAATCCACCAACACAAGAAATATTAGAACTCGAGTTTACTGATATGGATTATAGTAGCAGAATCTTGAAAGCGTCTCCCTTTTGCTCCCTCTGGCATCAAAGAGCATCAAGGCAGGACAACCCTGAGGTTCTTTCTCACTCCTTCCCATTTTCCTGGGGTGAATTTGTGTTTTCTTAACAGCTGCCACTTATTTGCAAGGCTGTTTCTGTACTGCTCTACACCACCTTCCATTGGCCAACGTGGACTCATTGGAGAGAGCAAATTTCTTTCAACCAAAGGACCTCTTGTTAAATCTCCTTTCTTACAAAAGAGGCTGTCTTTTTTGGAGACGGTTGGGGGAAACTGGGGAGATTAGTCCACTTGGCCGAATTGATTCCAGACAATGATGGACTCACAAGGCAGAAGAGAAGGGGGGGGGGCATTGCCCTGACTTCCTGGAGGAGAGGGACATGGAATGAGTAGAATATACTCGAGGGGCGAGTCGGAGTGCAGCATCTCCCCGAAACCTTTTCACACTGGCTCCTTCTTGGTGGAAATCAGGCTCCTGCTGGTCCTTCCCTTCTCCTTAGTGTCCCTCAGCTCCATACCACATGCTTCTTCTCAACCTTCCCCTTTGTGGTCAATTTTATCCCACAGACGCTCCTGAAAATCAGTGCTATTTTTAACTGCATTATTGGAACCTGCAAATCTCAGTTGTCTTGGAGAGACCCTCAAAGTCTGAGGTCCACCTCTGGACCCCTCCCCTCAGACCAATTGGGTGCCCAGAGGGATAACCATGGGGTGAAGAGTGGGGAGGGTGTCTGACCTGAAGAAGAGAAGATGGGGGGCGCAGTGGTGGGAGGAAGAGCCGCCTCCTTCCAGAAGACACCAACTCTTCTCCCTCTTGGAAAAGGGGAGCAAATTCCAGGAACATAGACTCTGGGGTAAGAAACTCCCAAGGAGTAGAAGCAGCTGTATAGAGCAGGCAGTCTCCAAACTGGGCAACTATAAGACTTGTGGACTTCAACTCCCAGAATTCCCCAAGTAGCATAGCAGGCTATGGACTTCTGGGAGTTGAAGTCCACAAATCTTAAAGTTGCCCAGTTTGGGAACATCTGCACAGAGAAGTGAAGGACCAAGAGAAGCATTTGCTCCCCTTTTCTGGACAGTTGTGGAACTCATTTCTCAAACACATTTCCTGTTTCGTTTCTTGCAAAGTGAACTGACTTACCTTAAACGTGACTAATTAAATCAACTTTCATTTTCTGAACACCCTGAAAGCAAAGCAGAAGACCAGACCTTCCTCAAAAGAGATCCAGCAGGGAAGCAAATCCACCTGCCAGCAGGGATTCCCGATTCCCTCCAACCAGGTGAGTCTCAGGGCAGAAGCACTGAGATACCAATTGGCATTTCATGGGGCAGCGGAGTGGAGTGGGGGGAGAGCAGGGCTCCTCCTGGGCATTGGGGGAGAGCAAGCCAAGGAGGGGAAAGCAAGCCAGGTGTGCAGCAAGTGTGGCAGAGAAGCACCTGTGTTGTTGGTGGGGCAGAGATTCCAGGTAATTTGGGGAGGAGCAGATTGCTCCTTTTCTGCTGAGTTCTGTCCAGGAAGCCAAAGAAAGAAAGAGCTGAAATTGAGTGCAGGTAGGGGACACCTTCGTCCTACCCCCCTACCCCTCAATCGCAGCTCTCTCTCCCCTCTAGGAAGGTTTTCCATTGAGATGCCAAATTCTGGCCCTCCTGGGGAGGGTGGAGGATCAGACTTTGTTTTCTATCTAGTCCCATCTCCTGCTAGTCCCTTTCAAACAACTGACTTTCCAATCTCTTTTTTAACAACCTCCATTGTTGGAGCACCCACAACTTCTAGTGGTCAGCTGTTCCACTGGTTGCTTGTCCTCCCTGTTAGGAAGTTTCTCCTTCATTCCAGGTTGCTTCTCTCCTTGATCAGTTTCCATCCTTTGCTTCTTGTCTTACCTTCTGGTGCTTTGGAGAATGGCTTGGCTCCATCTTCTTTCTGGCAGCCCCTGAGATATTGGAAGACTGCTAGCAGGTCTCCCCTAGTCCTTCTTTTCCTCAGACTAGGCATACCCAGTTCCAGCAACCGTTTTTTAAAAATTTATAAAAAACATTATTAAACAAATTCTACAATTAAAAAACTATTAAAAAACATATTTCCATTCATTGCAGCATATTTGTAGTAGTTTTCACTCCCTTTGACATATTCTTAAGTATGTAGAATATTACTAAATATTATTACAATTATTTTACATTTGATTTATGTCATCTTTTCATATATTTACGTAGTTATTTCCATTTATACATAAGTATACCTAGTTACACCTATTCACACAAAATTATTTCATCACACCATAAGCTTTCATTTCATCTATTTTGTGTCTACCTTGCAGCCAATTATACCATAAATTCCCAATTTTGTAGTACTCTGTCTCTTCTCTCTCCTTCATTTCCATTGAAAGCCTATCCATTTCCGCACTCTAAAACCTTTTTTATTCTCATATCGGAGGGAATGCTGACACTTTCCCAATTCTGGGCAAAGGCTATTCTTGCTGCAGTTATTATATGTAATATAATATATTGGAGTTTCTGACTTATTTTATCTCTTAATATACCCAATAGGAATGTCTCTGGTCTCAATTCAATTCTCTGTTTTGTAATTTCCTCCAGCCATTTCCTAATTTTAAACCAATATCTTTTAGCTTGAGGGCATGTCCACCATGTATGGAAATAGGTTCCCTGTTTATAATGACATTTCCAACAATTTGCTGATCTATTAGGGAACATCTTAGCCAATCTTCTGGGGGTAAATGCCAATGGTAGAACTTTTTGTATAAATTCTCTTTGCATGCTACTGATACAGTTAGTTTATAGTTTATTTCCCATAATTTTTCCCAATCTTCCAAATTAATGCTGTAACCAATTTTTTTTTGCCCAAATTATCATGGTCTCTTTTACCACTTCCTCTTCCATTTGGTATCTTCGGCGATAATTATATATTTTGGTAATCATGTTTTCATCTGACCCTTGTAATATTTTATCTAATTCCTGCCGATCTTTATATATTCCAAACTCTTCTATATCTTTCTTATATCTTGTTTGAATTTGTAAATAGGGCCACCAGTCTATTTTTATCCCTTGTTCCTTCAGTTCTTAATTAGTTTTCAATTTTCCCTGTTCAACCAATAATTCTTTATATATTCCAATTTTCCAAATCTCTTCCAATTTGTTGTAGTATTTTTGTATAATTGTCTTCCTTCAGAGTTAAAGTTCTGGGTCTTAGCCATATGCCTAGGTATTTGATCTTATTAACAATTTGTAGTCCCATTGTTTTCTCTAATTCTTTTTGTCTGTTTTTGTTAAATTTTTAACTAACATTTTAGTCTTTTTTTTTGTTAATTTTCAACCCTGCTAATTTACCAAATTGGTCTATTTCCCTTAATAATATTGGTCTTGAATCTATTGGATCTTCTATAATAAATACCATACCGTCCGCAAATGCTTGTAATTTGTATTCTTGTCTTTTAATCTTTGTTCCTTTAATTTCTTTATTCAATCTAAATCTATCCAATAGTGTTTCTAGTTTTGTTATGAAAAGCAGAGGCGACAATGGACATCCCTGCCTGATGCCTTTCTTTATCTCAAATGGGTTAGTAAATTCTCCATTTATCATTTCCCTTGCCTTCTGTATCGAGTAGATTGAATTTAACATTTTTGCAAAATTATCACCAAATTCCAACAAATTAATCTGATTTCATAAAATCCCAGCTAAGGTTATCAAAGGCCTTTTGCGCATCCAGGAAGACAAGGGCAAATTGACTTCCTGGATGAGTCTCGTAAAATTCTAGTATATCAATTATGGTTCTTATGTTATATCTGATCTGCCTCGTGGGGAGAAATCCATTTTAGTCAGGATGGATCCTATCATTAAGAATTTTCTTCAATCTTTCTGCTATCACACTCATGAAAATTTTATAATCTGTATTCAAAAGGGATATTGGTCTGTAACTTTTTATTTGATTGGCATCTGCACTCTCTTTAGGGATTAATTTAATATAGGCCTCCTTCCATGATTCCGGGGTTC